AACATTTAAGAGACATTTAACAAGAAATTGTTCTACTTTTGCGGAAAAGTTTCCTGCCAGAGATGCAAGAAAAGCGGCTAAAGGTGAGCTAAAGCTTAAAGCAGAGCAAAGTAAGTCTGGATTTTCGTTTATGTTATATTCTTTTATCCTATACTAGCACATTAGCACATACTGAGACATATTTACAGCCAACATGGTAAAATGGACATAAAATGTTGTGGCTCCTAAGCTGGTTTGATTTTGTGTTGGTTTGAAGTACAACCCCTGCACTAGATGTTGGGAAAAAAAAACACCCCACCCCAAAGCAATCACAGTTTTTCATTCCTCCAACCTTCAAGGTACATTAGGGGGCAGTTTTTTCTAGTCTTTCTAGTCTACTGCGGCACTACTGTATGAGGCAAGTGGGCATGTTTACAACAGATGTAGCAATGGTTGCATTGTCATTGTGGTCAGAGCGTTCCTTTAAGCGTTTTGTTGCTACATTCTGAGATTATCTGTACAGTTTCAGGCCAGAAAGGAAGGACTGGAATAAGAATGTGATTCTCTGGGATTTTAAACTAAAGTGTTTCAGCACTCTGCTGAGCTCACACACCAGTCCAGAGTCCTAATACTGAACTAAACTGAAGATCCAGTCAACTCGATGCTAATACTAAATGCTATTGCTAACACTAATGTGGCTAACACTCAGTGAAACCTTGTGGATGGGGCTTATATGCATGATCTTACTAGGCCTCAAGCTCAGAGCAAGGGGCTGGCTAGGAAATGAGACTGGAGTAAACAACGAGAAATAATTATTTGTTCCCCACAATTTTCACGAGGCAACGTTATTGGTGTGCTAGGAGCTGACTAACTAGAGAATAAACCAGGAGAAGCCACAGCCACTTTATTCAAGGACATCGAGGCAACTCAGTGCTGCTCACTGTATAGAATGCGAGATAATTTATTGGTGCCTATCGAACTATTAGTTCTTTAATCAGGGTTCTATCCCACCTAACAACACTTTCCACAGCAATTACCAATAACATTTACAATATCAGACATGATTACATCCATCACTTTAGCGTTAACAGCACTGCAGCTAATCTCATTTTGGAGAGGCAGCTGGCAGTGCTGCCTTTCTACATTACTTACCTTTTATTTAACTTAATATCAAGATAGTCCCTGAAGATTATAGGCTCCAATTTTCAATTTTCATACCTGTTTTTCTGCAGGTCTTGCTGTATTTTTTAGCATTCCCTTTGGGGGCTGGGTTGCCAAGCCCAGCAAACATCTCCATCCCAAGGTTTGCCTAAAAACTGTCCAGCAGAAGCGGAAACTTTTTTTTTTCTCTAAGATAGCATTTTCAAACTCAGTTTGGTGGGAAAACTGCTAACCTGGCAACCCTGACAGCAGGATGGCGTTATTTCACTCAGTTTGAGCCCTGAATACAACCTGCTAATACTGTGTTTCATTCAGGAATGCCTCACAATACAGAAGGAATGCTTTGTGATTTCTGATTCACGCTGACTTTACAGCTGCAGTGTGTAAGATTTGTTTGTTAAGACTGAAAGAAGTATCATTACTTTGTCAGGAGGGAAAAAACAAATATGGTGTGTGTGCACTGCTGTGAGTCGCCGTATAAAGCCTGAAATAGTTATTTTAAAGTCAGAGGCGTTGAGTCGGAAGTTTTTCCGACCATGTTGCACGTGTTTATTCGTTAACTTCACACACACAGGCTCAAAAAGAGAGTCTGGCTTGTTTTTTTAGGTCTCAAATGCAAAATCAACATCATACTGATGAGGACAATTCACTCACATGCTTGGAGGACACATCCTTTGCCACGTTTTTCATCGCCTTGGGGAAGGGATTGTTGCATGCAATTACACATTTTCACCAGAGAGGTCTCCAAATCCCCAAATCTTACGTAGTGTAGCTCTAAATTTATTAACTGAAAAATAAGCCTAGGGTTCAAGGGGCTAAAACAGCCCTGGACACCAGTTAGCTTGACTAAGTGAGGTCACTTAGTGTTCTCCAGTCAAGCTAACATGTGTCCACAAGCAGAGATACTTTCTTTAGCATAATATTCGGTGTACTATCTCTGGGCCAGTCATAGCACTAAGTGACCTCTCTTTTATATAGCATCTTTAGCATTTTGGGGTCAAATTCTGCTTTTTAAAAATCTCACACGGGGAAACCTATGATATTTATATGCTACATAAATATGCTACATAAGCATCTTAACTATCAGGAGAGGAGCGCATTCGATGGAAAGAGGGAGACTCAGCCGTGGATGGAGCTCAGTGTTGATCTGAAAGCTCCATACAGGATTAATGTGATCTCTGGGCTGAATTGTCAGCGAGTGCACTGGCTCGCGCCGTTCGAGACGACATCCCATCACACCCTGCTTTTGTTAGCTGCAACACTCTGACAGCTATATTTAGCCACGGCCCTCTAGAACGTTCCTCAACCGTTCTCCTCAAAGTCAGCAGGGTTCAGGATTTGGCACATAACCACCGCCCACCCCACGCTTCCCCCACTTAAATCTCAAGAAACACATGTGCTGGCACCTTGAACACCCTAGCAGGAACAAACAGCGCGGTACGAGAGGAGAAACGGTGCAGGTACAGGCTGCACATTAGAACCTCTGTCTGCTAGAGCTAGAAAGAGAGTCAGTCTTGGAAGGATTTGCTTTGATAATTTGCAAGTGTCATCGTTTTTTTTGAAAAAATGCGAGCATCATCAGCCTGAGGATTTGTGAAGCAGCAGGGAATCGAACAGCAATTTTCGGTCCACATTAGGCTGTTTGAAAGTTACTTTGAAGGATTTTTTTTCCCCAGAACTTTTGACGCCTTCTTCCTGTGATCATTCCCAACCATGACGATGGACTGAAGCATGAATCTGATGGTGGGACGGGTAGCCAAAGTGGACACTACGTGATTTTATTCTCTTACAGCATTTATTACTTTCAACTTGTTGGTTTGTCGATGTGTTGCTCACGCTACACAGTCAAGTGCAGACGAGGCCCAAAATTGAGGCCTACACCATCTCTAAATACTACTGCCTCACGAAATTAAACAGATACTCTGGGTCAAAATGAAAAATAAAACCTTTGCTACATCTTTTGTAAAAACAGTAGCAGTAATGCCAACCAATCAGCACTCAGTAGCAGTAATCCTAACTAATCGGCACTCAGTAGCAGTGACGCTAACCAATCAGTGCTTAGTAGCAGTAATGCCAACCAATCAGCAATCAGATACAGTAATGCTAACTAATTAGCACTCAGTAGCAGTAATGTCAACCAATCAGTGCTCAGTAGCAGTAATGCTAACAAATCAGAACTCAGTAGCAGTAATGCTAACCAATCAGCGCTCAGTAGCAGTAATGCTAACCAATCAGCACTCAGTAGTAGTGATGCCAACCAATCAGCACTCAGTAGCAGTGATGCCAACCAATCAGTTCTCAGTAGCAGTAATACTAACAAATCAGAACTCAGTAGCAGTAATGACAAACAATCAGCACTCAGTAGCAGTGATGCCAACCAATCAGTTCTCAGTAGCAGTAATACTAACAAATCAGCACTCAGTAGCAGTGATGCCAACCAATCAGCACTCAGTAGCAGTGATGCCAACCAATCAGTTCTCAGTAGCAGTAATACTAACAAATCAGAACTCAGTAGCAGTAATGACAAACAATCAGCACTCAGTAGCAATAATGACAACCAATTAGCGCTCAGTAGCAGTAATGCCAACCAATCAGCACCCCGTAGCTGTAATGCCAGTGTCCTACATAGTGTCCTAGTGTACCCAATACATGTTGGGTAATGTATTGAGAGAATACTGATGAACAGAAAATTGAAAATCGAATGAAATTGAATTCTGTCAAACCGATGAGGCTGAGGAAAACAACGCTGTGGTACAACACTGTGGAGCGCAACCATATTAAGTACTAATATTGAATGATCAATTAAAAATAATTGAATAACATAAAGTACTAAGATGTAGTTTTAGGACCTTAATATTTTGACTCGAGAAGAAGAAGTTGCCGTCATGCACAATGGAGGCTGACCAGCTTGCTACTGCTGTCAGTTCTCCACTCATTTTGGCAGTTCTGATAATTCACATTTTGTACAGGCTTATACAAACACATATGCAAATGTACAAATGCAGTGGCTATTGCTCAATGCTGTTTGTACTACTTGTACAAGTGGTTACATGTGGGTAAGTGACCCACTTCTGTCTTTAGTGTAAGCACACCAGCGACCTGTAATGACCTGCCTGGGCACATTTAAATCAACAAAATCACATGGATGAACCATAAGCATCATAAACAATAACATCAAATAAACTAACTAGCAGCACGAGTGAAAATGATTTGCTCTGAAGAGTTCTCAACTGTTCGTTATTAGAGTAAGGGGTCCGAAGCACTAAAGCACAACCCACGTTATAAAATGTTCTTTCGCATGTTGCGTGCAATTGCACATTTCCACCAGAGAGGTCTCCAAATCCCCAAAACGTACATAATGTAGCTTTATGTTTCGCAGTGAGCCAAATCATCAACCTCAGCAAATGCTAGATGCTCTTGGGTGGATGTGGTGAGGTTGGGGGATGTTGCTTAAACAAAAGCAGCTTTCAGGTCAAGCAGGTTAAGTAAAGCACACCCACACACCCACACACACATTTTCTAAGCCGCTTATCCTTCTGGGTCCCAGGGGGAGCCGGAGTTAAGTAAAGCAGCTTAATATATATTTTTTTAAACTTAAAAAATAACCCTTTACTAAAAAGTTACTGCGCCAGACATCTACAATCTGATTGGTTGCCACCCATTTTCAAATGAAAAAAAAAATCACCATAACATTTTCTATGATATGAATGTAGCTCAGATCTAATTTTAAAACGTTGTGCCGCATTGTGGCTTTGTAATGTGAATATGGCCTTTTTTTCACCAATCTGGCATAGGTTTCTTGCTAATCCAAGAAACTTGAGCTAAAGTTGTGTAATGTTTACTCAACTTCCTACACTTACCTTCTTTTCCAACCAGGAAGTCCAGGTGGCAGTACGTGTAGGCTACGCCGATCTTGGTCTCCACCTGCGGCCTCTTGAGGGTGGAGTAGATCTTCCCTGGACTGCTGTCTTCCGTCTGACGGATCTTTCTCAGCCCGCAACCCATCGTTCCTGTCCGAGTGTGCTTTGATCCTCAACTGAGAGACAGAAGGAAAAACAGAGGTGGTAAGCTTGGTGGAAACTAGAAGCAGCAGGTAACCTCGTGACTACATCACAGATGGCAATCAGCTGTTTGAGCTATTTTATTTGGTTTCATTATGAGTAAGAATGTGGTGTTCTATTCTCAGAGGTATTTATTTGGGGAAGTGAGCACTCTACTATAGGTACCGTTCCAATTCCATATATCTCACTAAAAATGTCACACTTCTGCACTCCTACTAAAAAAAAACAAAAAAACTTTTAAAAGGAGATTCCAAACTTTTGACCAGTAGTGCATGTGCACAGACTCTGAACAGGCTGTTATTTTAGCTGTCTACCACAGCATATTGGCGTTATAATTACATAATGAATATGGGCTCAAATGTAATTGGACCAACTAACAATCATATTAAATTGTCATTTTTAATACTGGGTTGCAACTCCTTTGCGGTCAATGACTGCCTTTAGTCTGGAACCCGCAGACATCACTAGACTCTGGGTTTCTTCCCTGGTGATGCTCTGCCAGGGTTTTAGTGCACTCTTCAGCTCCTACTTAATCTTGGGGTGTTTCACCTTCAGTTTTGCCTTCAGAAAATGAAATTCATGCTCAATTGGATTGAGGTCACGTGATTGACTGGACCATTGCAGAAAGTTCCACTTCTTTGTCTAGGGTACCTTTCACAGAATGCTTTGGGCCATTGGCCATTTGCATTTTTGAAGCATTTGGTGGACATTATGGTCCTATACACTTCATAATTAATCCTGCTGCTTTTGTCAGCAGTCATTTCATCAATAATTACAAGAAAACCAGTTCCATTGGCAGCCATACATGCCCACACCATAACACTACCTCCACCATGCTTCACAGATGAGGTGGTAACTCTCATACTGAGAGGTAACAGCAACAGATTGGAAATGCCACACTTGGAATCACCTCCAGACCTTTTACATGCTTACTGGTCAGTACAATAATGTGGGAATAACACACCTGATCACAGAACAGCTGAGCAGTCAACTGTTGACATCCCAATATTTATGGCCATGACTATATGTCTGAACTATGCTTTAATATGTTGGAAATCTGCTGTTTGGTACTGGTATCCAAAACATAGTGAAGAATATCCAGTACAGTCCCACAATGCACTGCAACAAACAGCAAACAAAATATGTACCACAATAGACATGAGATACCCATGAATACCCACTTAAATCAAATACAGTGGTGTCTCAATTCTATTCATTTTATATGATACAGCAAATGCTTGAAAATGTGCCTTACATGAATATGTTAATGTTTCTATTTTGGATTTGTTTGAGCATTCAACATTCTAAAAGTACAACATTTGAAACAAAAGTTGTGCTTTTTATCCTGATCTGACACGCTAGCCACAAGTTAATGTTAGCCCCAAGCTAACACCCTAGCCAAAAGCTAACATATAGTTACAGTCATATGATACAATGCAGTATGATGCGATGTGTTACAATACGTTGGACTGTTGTATGTATAGTTACATCCCTAATAATGCACAGTCCTTTTTCAACGATTCATGATCTGAGGAGGTTAGCAAGTCGACTCAATGCTTGCAGCAAGCACTAAAAACACCTTGTGGTAAAAATGTTCGAAAGATGATATATTTGGCCGTACAGACTACCCCCCCCAATGTCCATGAATCAAATGAATTAAAGGTTGCTAAGAAGCCAAAATATGCTACATATAGCTGAATATTGCTACATGCAAGCTAACACAGCTATGCACTGAATTGATATCATAAGACTGGCAACCTCACCAAGATATATCCTATGCAATAAAAGCAAGCTTTTCAAACGTGGGGGTTAAGTTGCTTTGACACTTTTAGGCTGCTGGTGTTGGTAAGGTTACTTTTATGTGATGTCATTGCAGTGTTAGCGACTCCTTAAAATCCTTTCAGAGAATCCAGTGACATTCAGGGAAAAGATATATGGGAAGTTAGGAGCATGTTATGCTTACCAGAGGACACAACAGTGACAATTCTTCGAAAATGCAAGAAATCTGCTTAGACTTGGAGTCACTAATACAGGCCTGGCTCTGATTACAGAGGTCCTTCGTAGTGTTTCAATGTGATAAGGGGACCATTTTTATTCCCTATAATCGTGTCCTACATAGTGCTCCTTTCTTTCCCCTGTAGGGAACCATTTCCACTGCGATGGTAACACCAGTGTCAAACTTCTGTGTGTTTGAGAGAGAAATAGCCAATAAAAGTCCACTTAATCACGTCTGACTGCCACTAAATAAATAAATAAATGAAGTAAATGAGCTGCGGCTCCTCGTTGGTGTCCATTACTGCAGCAGGGAAGGAATGAACGCGGACAGCCACTGAGCGTCCTGAGCCTTCACGGAGGGAGCCCCACTCCCCTCCTCACCCAAATCTGTTGTGACAGCGGCACGACAGCCGGGTGGCCGATCTGATATCCCCCATTGTGGCCGGCTGATTAAACGACAGGGGAGCGGCTGATGGAAGACGCACTTTATTATGTCCCTTTCTAATTACGCCGCGCGGCTTCAGGGGCGGCCCGCTAATCTAGGAGGCGGCGCTGTCCGAGGCCGAGAAAGAAGAGGCGGGTAATGAGGTGAGCGGTGAAAACGAAAAGGTGAGAATCAATCACGCGCAAATCAGGGGCCGCATTGTTCATTAAAGGAGTCGAGGTAAGGCGAGACTGACTTTAATTAGGACCCCGGTGTGCAGCCTTTGGCGGATTCGTGAACAGCACCTTAAGAACCGATGTTTTTGCATGACGCGAAGATGAATAGATGTGTTTTGTTACCCGTGGCGGCGTTAGGCCCGTTGGGAAAATTGCGTTTCCAGTGGAGCGATCATGTCTGAGGGACGGGCGACCACCCAAACAAATGAAATGAGCCGTGAATCATTACATGTGGGATGTTAGAGATCTTCCCATGGTGCAGTGCTTCTCAGCCCTGCTCCTGGAGTGCGCCTGCCCAGCACATTTTAGCTTTTTCCAAGCTCTAACACACCTGATCCAATTAATCTGCTAATTAAAGTCACAGTTGGGCTAAAAATCTACTTCATGCCGTTTTCCCCTCACCCCAAAGGTAGGTGAGCTTGGCGGCCACTCTGTTGTCCATTTTTATACAAAGCAGTGTCACACAGCGTCAAAAACCAGCTAAGTAAGTCTATTTGAGATTACTTAAAGAGTAAAATGAGGGTTTAATACATTGTCATGGTATTCTGTAGAGCAGCACTGTGTCTTTCAGTAACATCGGTTTGACAAAATTCATGATTTTATAACACTTTCATGTTTTTGTTCATCAAAATTCTTTCACTACAATACCCAGCGTGCATCACTAATAGGCTAATAAACACAGAAAAGCTAACATTATTGTAGCTCTTACATGTCAGAAATCATAGGAACATGGGGATTCTATCTTATTCAGCACAAAGTGGATGCCAGAGAGATGTTTTTGCCCATTTAGCAAGAGAAAAGAAGACAAACTGAGGTAAGATACGTAGGCAGCTACCTTGCTAACTTTAGCTTATTGTTTTCCCTATCTGACAAGTCATTTCTGTAATTGAATTCCTAGCTGTAACATTAGCCATTAGGCTTCCTTCTAAGCCCACCCCCAAAGAAGTGTAGGTTTTTAAAAGTCCCACCTTCAAGATGTATCATCAAATGATTAAAACAAAAAGGTTTTCTAACCTTTAAACATGGAAAATATAATTATGAATTATTGTTGAAGTTTCATTTCTCGCTTTAGAACTTGTTATGCTTTGAGGTATGTTTGTGATGATATAAGGGTTTATATAGAGTGCAAAATATGTCTTTCCCATTCAGAAGTATTAGTGAAGTTGGTGAGGAAATGGTGAAGTATTATCTTGTACTACTTGTTAGCGACATTAGCTTTGTAGCTCAAGTGCAAAACCAAAGAAGTAAACTTCAGACTCCAAACATGCCTTGGCTGATCAACTTCATCTGGGGTAATAAGGGAAAATCAATACATTTTGGCTGAATTATTGATTTCACCAGCTCTTCCTGAGCCAAAGTGGGTGTTGGCACTGGGAAAACACCAAAATGTGTGGAGCGGGGCGTATTTCAGGACAGATATCGGAAACCACTGCTGTAGCGTAATGCCTTGTGAACAATCAGAGACGGAGTTTCATGCTGACTTGTAATTTTCCTTTTTGGAACGTTTTGTTCTGTTTGCTCTGTGACATCCCTCGGAGCCAAGATTCAAGAGGAAAGAAGCCAGAGAAGGAAAGGAAAGTGGGAAAGAGAGAACTAGGGAACAGACAGTAAAAAAAAAAAATTGTGATTCTGCTCCGGCTCTCCCTCAACAGTAATCTCTCCTAAACTGCCACTGAGGACTTCTAGCACTCAAACATCCCCTGCCAATGAAAACATCAAAACTGTTCAGTCATCAAAGACAGAGAAAGAAAGACGGGGGGGGGAGAAAAAAAGCCTCTAAAACACAAGTCTCAGATATTAGGAGTAGCCCAGAGTGGCTCTCTCCGAAATCTCTGCACGCTTGGAGCTTTAGACGCTGGTCTCTGGAGGGCCAGAGGCGCGTTCACCGTGTAATCTGAAGGAGTGGGAGCAGCTTGAACAAAGCCGGTGAGAGAGAAAGAGAGAGAGCAAAACAAGACTGGATGGAGGGGCCGCTATTTGCATAGCCTGTAGAGACTGGAGGGAGGTGAAGATGGCGAGGTATTTTTAGAGACGACGGAGTGGGAGATGTTTATGATATTTCAGAGCGACTTCTGGCTCCCTGAAGTTCAGCTGCATGCTACTTGACGTTCTTGGCAGCTTTTCTTCTTCTCCTCCCGGGCCGGCCTCTCTGCATCTCCCCCCGGGCCAAGGAGATTGACAGAAGGAGAGGCTGTGCCATTGGTTGTTGAAGAAAACAACAAAGAAGGAAAGAAAGAAAGTAAAAAGTGCTCTTTGAACTTCGTTTTCAGGGACCTTGGTGCCCTGGTGCCTTCCGTCCATGCGTTTGCAGTACGAGATG